AAGTTCGCAGTTCGAAGTCGAGAATACTGTGACTAGGAAATACTGGAAACTTGAAAGATTTGGCGAAAAAATTCTTCATACAATGAAGAGGAAGAAAATTCAAAATTTTCTTCCGGAAAAGGAAAATTTCCACAACTATCCTCCTTCCTGCAGACTAGGGTCGAGGTCTACTTACAATAAATGAGCTCTTCCACATGAAGGACCAGAGGCCTCGTCCAAAGCATGGTTAGATATCCGAAACGCTAGTAACTACAGTGCTGTACCTGTTCCTCCTCACTCAATAGCTGTTAGGCAAAGTCATGCACGACCCCCACACCGGAAAAACCTAGTGGTGGTAGATCATAGTAAACTCCCACTGTACGATGAAAAATCACCACCATGACGCAACGGGTGTGCGTTATCACTTCAGGGCGTAGCGAGAAATGCTCCGCGACAGTGCGAACCGCATCGTATCATCGTATGCTGGTCGGCGATAGTTGACCATCACGCGCGTTTGTCTTCACTTCTTCTCAAGAGAGTAATACGGAGGCCTAACATTCATTTATTCAGTCATGACGCCATCTGACATCGCTAATCAACGCCGCAACTGTCAGGGCGAATACTCTGGCCTTCTCGTATCTTGCCGTCCTGTATTCACGCGCTCCTCCAAGGTGTTTGTTCCTATTAATGGCATCAGCCACAGAGTCCAGCAGCGACGCTTCTGAGAGTTCCGATAAAAGTGGCTGCGAAGTTTACCTTCACGTGTAGTTCTGGGAGGGGAAAATTCACCAGAAATGGAGAAAATCCTTGGTGGAAAGACGGTGAAATGTGTCTCCTGTCGTTTTCATCCATCCTTATACGTACAATAATCGCTGGTGGATTTCCAGAAACTGACAGTACAACGATTTCGACTACTGGTCATTCCGTTGCAAACATCCTCAGTGTACACAGAGAGGTATGGCCGCGGCTTCATACGAGACAGTGAGAATTTCCCAGAGCCGTATTGACTCACATCCCAAGTTATAACAGTCTAACTTGTGCAGAACAGTTTCAACTCAGGTACGATCTATCGGAAAACACAAAATGGTTGGCCGATGTGTTTTCCCTGAAGTACAGATATTCATTGACATACATGCTCCGGTTCACCCCTTTCTTAGGGACTACAACTGCGGTGCTTTCCACACTGGCGTCGAGGTCTACGGAATGGAATACGTCTTCCAGTACTATGCAAACGAGGTGAGCCGTTCACAATCAATGGCGGAAAAGATAATCGCTTGTCAGCCGGACAACAACGAGCTTTCTGGTATTAGCGCGCAGATACCGAGAACTGATTCGGCTTACGTGTATAGAACCACGGTAGGACATTGGGGTCAGCCCAGGTCACTTGCAGAATACGACGCTCCTATGATCCAATATCGTTCAACCAACATATAGCATTGGTATTAATATGGCCAACGTTATGCGAAGCCGTCGTATTTCATGTCTGTGACCCACATGAACAGGATACAGATTCATGGATCTCAGATCGACATGGGCTGGACGAACTACAGCAATGACGAAGTTCACAGGATAATTTACGAGGAAATGCGGCCTCAGTGGATTCACAACACATACCACATCACAAAAAGGAATTGTGTAAGGATTTCTCGTGGTGTGGCACGCTAAGGTGGAGCTGTTAGGTCCATTTTTCCTCAGCGCTTTGTCGCCGACTGGGCGTCAAAGACGTGCCTGACTGGGTTTTCGGAGCAGCTAAGACGGCCGATGCAACACGTGGTATCTCGGCACTCGCTGACGCGGCGTGGCGCGCGGCGAAGTACTGGAATTCCTATTACTATAATGACGATGACGATGGGGAGAGCACTGGCAGAAATGAAGTTGATCCGGAAACTACCACCGTCACTTTCCCTTACCACGTGCAGCAGTGAAAATTTTTCAATTCACCAGTATCTCGTGAAAGAGAACAGAGATTCACCAGCAACAAGAATCTTGTCGTGTTCTTGTTCGAAAATGACAAATCTCAGTATCAAGTTCTGTTGTGTCTCTCTCGAGCAACTAGCAATGGAAGCCCCTTTCTCTCCGGAGCTGTCCAAGACGAAGGCCGCTGAGTCGGAGGAAAAATTGAAGATTTGCTGGCCTATCTTGATCTACATGGTGGTGGTAATACCGCTCGTATTGGTTCTTGTTGGATTTGCGATGGTGTCAGTGTCATCTTCTAGCTGTCTGCTGTGTAGTGAAGATGTTCGTGGGACAAAGACCTATGATGATCACCTATCTCTGGACTGTAAGGGAACTGGGTATGTGCTCCCATATGGATTCTTCGTTCAAAAATCTATGGCCGACTTGCATATCTTTCGTGTGCTCGGAAGACTCATCAAACGTGTGGGATGCGACAGAAGCTCGTGTTCGTTGCTCCTACGCAGGGTCTCCTAAATGTCGAATGATCTTCCATGTGGAAGTATATGGAGTACTCGGAGTAGTTCCTCAGTTCTGTGCGTTTTCAGATCGTTCTCTGGTTCATCTCTGGCCTTGGCATCACCGCAGGAGCTCATCGCCTGTGGTCCCATCGTTCTTACAAGGCCGGAAAGGTCATGCGAGGAATTTTGATGATCTGTGATAAGTTACACCAATCTGGTTGATGACGTCTCCTTTGCTCAGTTACCAGTATAGCCAACCAAGGCACAGTCCTGAAATGGGTCCGAGATCACAGGGTGCGCTGTGGCGCGGCGCGGGGGGGGGTATCTTACGGTTTCATCAGGTTCACCATTTGTACTCGGATACTCCAGCAGACCCCCACAACTCACAACGTGGATTCTTCTTCTCACACGTCGGCTGGCTGCTGGTGAGAATACACGACTAATGGAAGTGCAGAGTTGTTCAGACTCAAACGCCCGAGAAGGTGTCCGAGTGTCTCAAAAAGGTCACCACGAACGATTTGATGAACGATGGGTTCCTGACGCTGCAGAGCGGTAAAATTCTGACATTGTCGAGATCGGGTTTTTTGCTCATTTATTTCAGCTCTGGATCCATGGTGGAATCTTTCCTGGTGCTTCATCGTAAGCTACCCGCATTTTCTCATGGTGGGTGGCGACAGTTTTCACTCTCAGTTCCCTACGGCGTTTGCATCGATTTTTGGGGAGAGAGTCTCATGAATGCCTTCCTCCTGGCAGGAGCCTTCCGCTACTGCTTTGTAAGATTTTTCAGGCATGCGATCCTGATTCTGTCCTAAGGTTCTTCACGCGACTTGGGCGGTGAACTCCGTAGTGCATAGATGGGGCGTTCGACCATATGATCAGTCTGCCTTCACCACAGAGAACCCTTTCGTAAGTAGCAAGAGCGAGCCTGTTATTCCTGATGTGCTCTTCTCAGTGAATGATTTGCTATAAATAATACTTTATTTTTTTGTGATCGTCTAACACTGACAGTTTTTCTTTTGAGAGGAAGCATGGCGGGATATACAGCTACCATATGAGCGCTTTTGCAGGTGGCGTTCTTCGCGTTGGGTGAAGGCTGGCACAACTGGCATCATGCTTTTGAATGGGACTATGCAACTTCGGAGATGGGGGTCTGGCAGCAGTACAATCCCACCAAGGCGTTTATCGACTTCATGTCCGTCAACTCTGTTGTTCACTTTTTAATGGTTCTTTGATGCTTTTCAGGTGTTGGCTGGGTTTGGCTTGGGGCAGGAGGAGAGCGAATCCGAAGGGCTGGGACCATATGAAGGAGAGGCTTTCACGTAGTTGGGGAGGTTGCATCGCTTACTAGTGTCCTCTCGTATGGGGGAGGGGTCGTATGTGGAATCCCTCGTGGAAAGTCGGATTGCATAGAGCTCACTTGTATGCTTTGATCCACGTTGTTTTTGTCCGACACGGCTGGAGATATCCCATGAATGATGCAGGTAAGCTCGGACCCTCTTACAAGATTGTCGAAGTCAAGAGAGGTGTGCCGCTGTTCCGCTACAGAGAGACTAAACTCGTTAAGGAGTCTTAATGGCTCAATGGTAACCCATTTTCCACTCTACTATACTAGCCCATATTATCGTCGACCGTAGAGTCGTCGTCATGTCGTCAGTGTCCCTCGATTTCGCCTAGTTCGGTTAAGGTATAACCAGTTTTCACGGAGGTCTGGTTTTTTTCATGTTTGCTGAGTTTCCTCCATCAAAGTGGCTCTGCTTTGCTAATTAACGAGTCTATCGCACCATCTCACTTTTTACAAGGACCACTCTTATGGGCTTAAGACCAAACTAAGCATCATCCCGTGGCCTTTGTAGCGATGCCATATCGATTAGATTTTGTTGTTGATAATGGAGTATTGGTTGCTGGGCGTAAAGTCCCTATGTGGGCCCTGAAGGTGGTAGCGATTCGTTTACGGTTTACACACCGCCCGCAATTCGCGAAGCGGGATTTGTACACGTCTTTCTCAGCAGGGTTTGTCTACTTCTATGAAACTTCGCCCTTGCGTGATGACCCCTCCAACGAGCGGCTCTGAGACGCAGCAAGAGACGGAGTTCATTCCCAGGGCGAGCCCGGAGCGGCTCGACTGGCTCCGGCAATCTTTGCGGAATTGGCGTACGCCAGCGCAAAGAGATTTTATATTCTCCAAGGTTACTGAGGCAGAGTTCTGGGAGCCTATGCAGGTGCCCCAGCTTGGTGTTAACGTTATTTTGAATCATATAGAAGCATTTTCGGAGGAGCAACAGAAGTTGCTGAAGGATCGGTCTCGATATCCCATGCGGCTCCTTGCTGGTGCTCGTAGTACTAGCAGAGCACCCTCGGTGACAGGCTCTGAGAAGAGCCGGGAGACTCGACGTAGGAAGGTTCACAGGATTGGTAGTCTTGTCAGCTCTGGCGGGTACATCACTGTTGGATCAAGTCGGAGGGTTCACACTGGCTCGAAAGAAGAACGTTCCCGAGGAAGGGCGTTGAAAAGAAAAGTGAGGGAACAGCAGATACAGAAGAAAGCAGAAGTTGCATCGAAGGCGCCTAAGACGACCGAAGGCTCCGTCAAGTCAAGCGTCGAGGCCGAGGGTATGAGTACGCCTGTTAACGTGGACGATGACGAGCCTGCAGAGTCGGTTGTAAGGTCACCTGTGGGCAGTCCTAGTCTTGAGGTTGACTATTCTGTTGACTCCCCTGTTCTGGTTTGTCCCACGGTACCACGTGACGAGAAGTCCGTCGACCCTCCACCGGTGGAGGAAAAGGACTGTGAGAATTCAACAGAGATGGCGGATGCGCCTCCTGGTGATGAGGATCCGAGAGAAGTTATCTCGGAGAAGAAGCGAGCAGTTCTCGCAAAGAAGTAGTACCATTTCGTATTCCATTGGGTTGTCGAGCCATTCATCTCGTTCCTGCTGCACCGTCGTTATTGATTCATTCATCTTGACGGAGTCTCATCTCAAAGAAAAACAAGATTATAGAATAGACGAATAATTCAAGAAAGTCCGACAACTTGGAAATCAGTCATTCCTTATGCTCGCAACAGTGAGACTTGTCTCGTTTTACCGTGAAAGTATTCGATCGCTTGGTGAAGCTGACACGTGATAGCATCACTATGATCGCGGAGTCGATCTATGTTTCACAGCCTAGTCTGGTGGTTTTTGTCTAGAATACATATGCTTTCACTGGGAATTCATTTCATTTTCGCTTTCCCCGTACTCGTACTGCGTATGCCATCGTCTCTGTTTCAGGCAAGAGCTGCTGCAGAAGCAGATAGATCTGCAGAAACTGATACTTCGACGAAGACGCGAGAGTTCTCCGCTCGCTCATGCTGTTCAACCACGGCCCAAGCCTGCTTTACCTCCTCGGGGGCCACCCCGAATCAGGAAGCAAAGGACAAAGGGAGTGAAGGAAAGTGGTGGTGTAAGTCCGGAAGAAGCTTTGAGGCGAGTTCGGGAGTTGAAAAACGCTGTGGGTGCTCCCAAAGAAAAAGCTCCTAGTGAGATGTCAGAGTTGGATAAGTTTGAAAAATGTAAAGCAGAGGTGATGGCTAAGAAGAAGCAGGCAAGCGAAGAGAAATTGGCAGCAGCGGAAGCTGAGGAATCCCCGGCGATTAACTTGGGAGAAACACTCGAGGATGGAGGATCGCCCGCTGGCAGTTCGGAGAAAGAAGAGCCGTGGTTTGTGAAAGTGCGGTCATTGCCGCCTAGCAGCCCGGTGGCGGGGGAAGTCTCGGCCGCGGAAAGAGAGAAGAAGTTGATCGGGATTGTCTTGCAGGAGCGTTACAAAGGGTCAAGCGGCAACTCGGACATCTTCGGTGATGCTGAAGACTCGGACAAGGAGGACGTTTTCAAAGCGCCGGATGTCACGCCTTCGCCTCCTCAAGCTTCCATCGCTGATGACGATGACCTTGACATGGACGAGAATGAGTTTTTACGACTTGATTATTCTGACAACTAGTGTAGTGCAAGTGTTTATGGTCATCCGAATGGCCGGTGAGATGTGTACCATTTTTCAAGTAGTATATATTAACGTTAGATACGATTCTGTCGTTCTATTGGGTATTCTTGTATTGTCCATTACATCGGAGTTGAGTTCATCAGAGTAGTCACTTGATCCATTTACATACGGATTGAGGATGAAAAGTTCTTTCAAATACTAAAACATACCACTCATCCGGTATAGCTCAGATCTAATTCAGTACTCTGATCCAACTGACCACTGCGGATTAGCCTGCATGGTCATTGTCGAGACTTTCGTTCATTCGATTACGATGCTCTATTTGGATTATTGCCTGACTGTGGATCACTGATCGCCGAATTGCCAACGCTATCACAAAAAGTTCCCGGTATTTTCAAGGCCGCTGATCGTCTATTACGAAGAGATTCTCGTGGGGAAGTGTCATTAGCAGGTTTCTACTGATCAGCTTCCTGCGAAACACTCACTGCATGAAATATCTATTTTGCATGTTTTATTGTACTATAAGACATTCGGGAGCCGATGATCCAGTCATGATTGAATCACTTCACATCGCTATCGACATATCCTCTGAATGATTGCGAATATTATTCTTCATCGATCGTGTCTCCTGAGTAGAAGTGCGTTTCAGTTCATCTAACTTAGCCGAGCTCATTATGAGTGAGCTGGATGTCGGATGTCGCGTTCTGGGTTTTCGATAATGTTCTGGTATGCGCTTCCTGAAGAATCCATCTCGAATACCATATTGCTCGTATTCTTGATCCGCATTGATGATTGATTATCGCGAACCCGACAGAAGATAAGAAGAAGTCACTTTCTAATGTCGTCCGTATAGTGTCTCCCAATTGTCACAGCCGCTGGAGCATCAACACGCCCATTAATTACTAACACTACTCTCCATGGTTCCAGTCCCGAAGGAAACGAGTTACACAGAGCGAGTGGCGTAAGTCCATAGCAATCTCATCGCGGGAGCAAACTCATTTACTTCTTGGCCTTCTTCTTGCTAGCCTTGGCGGGCTCAGCGGCAACCTCGACGGTTTTGGCGACGGGGGCAGCAACCTCCTCAGCCTCAACAGCAGAAGCCTTGCCACTGCGCTTCTCCTTCATGGCGCGGGCCTTGGCCTTACGGGCTTCGGTCTGCTCCTCAAGGAGCTTGGCGCGCTCGGTCTCGGCCTTCCTCTTGTGGATGGCTTCGATGAGCACACGCTTGTTCTTGAAGGTGTTACCTAATCACGTGGCATTGGGAAGGCGATATTCAAGTGGGGACATGCTACCCTTAGACTTCATGTAGAAGAAGTGGTAGATGTGCTTGTCAACCTTGCCGGCCTCACGGTACTTCCTCAAGAGACGACGAAGGACGCGCTGACGCCTCATCCACAAGACCTTGGTGGGCATGCGGGCTTCAGCGGTACCCTTACGCTTGCCAGGGCCAGTGTGGCGTCCCTTGCGCTTAGCAAGGAGGTTCTTGCGAACGCGAGAACGAGAATGCATAGCGACCTGGCAAAAAGAAAAATAACAAAGAATTCGGCAATTCAAATGAACTTACGGGCTTTTTCATGATGATGCCATCATCGAGGAGCTTCCTAACACCCTTACGGGAGTTAGCAGTAGCAACCTCCATGGTCTCATTGGGGTCAATCCAGATGCGGTTCTTACCGCACTTGGCGACAGAAGCCGCCAAACGGCGTTGAAGCTTGAGCATGGACTAAACACGAAGACATCGTTACATAGGTCTCAACGGCTCCTATTCTATCGTGGCACACACGGGCAGGCCGCGAACACGAGGCAATCCAGGACGAGACAGCGTGGAGATTCCCCTCCCATACTACCATTTCCTATATATTCCACTCTGTGTGCACCGCTGCCAGGGCGTTGGGCGGACGAGTCGGGATCGTAGCGAACGTGGCGAGCGCGGAATATCGATCATTCGTGAAACTAGCGCACGCCATTCTAATCGATTGATTCATCGGGTCGGGTTGTGCACGCCCTAAGCCTTTGAGCGCCACTTTCAAACATGCACCATGTCTTGAGATCAGTACTGTCAATCTGGGCCTGTATGGGAATCGAAGCTCTTCTCTCGGTCTCATTGACCATGCCGTTTCGTCGTCTCATCTCGCGTCGGTCTACCTTTCTCACGGGGAGAGTCTCCACCTTTCATTTTTACAGACCGTAAGGGGTCTTAGTGATTTCTGTAGGTGTGCGGGGAGTGGAACTAATTCAGGTTTTGCTCTGTAGCTGCAGTAGCACAGGAAGCATCTGAATCACAGGCTGCTCCAGCTAGCGCTGTCAAAGTGATATTCCCATTTAGAAATCGCATTTGGTTTGAGTGTCTTTTATCCAGGCTCCGCGACTCCTCACTGATGCAGACACCATTCAAGTGAGACTTCATCGTGCGCGTCGCTTGCTGCATCGTCATGCGCTCTCAGTATGCCAAGCTCAAGATGAAACAGATGCAGGAGGCTGCCAACACCAAGTATATTCCATCGAGTTTTCCGGCAGATCCGACGGACGCCGACTATCTATCATGGTGGGTAGTCGGCTTGGACTTCTAAACCGTTTCATTTGAGGTACAAATCTTTCAAAAAGATCAAGTCTGCCGAGAAGAAACGAAGGGCATCGAGACTTCTGCGCCTCTCCCGTTCTATATTTCGACAGCTTGCTGTCAAGGCCTTAGATGTTGACGTATGGTTCGACCTGTCATCATTTACACGAGTTCTGTACTGGTTTTAGGCTATTTCGGAAAAGTGCCCCGAACTGGGTGAACTGTTGAAGAACCCTCCCACCATAGCCGGGGACAAGGATACTTCGTCGGCCCGACATTGGTGAGTTGGAGAGCCATGATTTCAGCGAAACGAGAACCTTCTGTCCCGCAGGGCCTCGCAAATTGAGAAATTACTGACTGAGAACGCTTCCTTATTAGAGGAGCTCGATCTCTCTCGGTCATTGAAGGGCTCCAAGACTGGGTAATTCGTTGTGTTCGTCTGTGACGTTGTCCAGTCGGCTTGCAGGACCTTGATCTCGCTGACGAGCGTCTCCTCCTTCAAGAGCCTTATAGCCTGTGGTGCCTTCGATAACGTTGAGAATACGCCTATTGTCACGGAAGGCGACCGGATCGGTGGGTGTCATCTATCCCTCGAGTTTGAGTGATGACGGACCATTTTTTTGCTCAGTCCACGCGCTGGTTCCCGAGTTGAAGGCTGACGAATCCCGGTATTTCAGTATCACTCTCAACGAGGCAGACTCTTTGGAGTCCTGGCTGGTGAAACATGGTGCGGAAAATGTCCCATCAAAAAAGTGAATTGACGCAGGGGTCTCATCTCAGTAGGATTGGCTTCTGACAGGTTCTCCGTGAGTAGCAGTGTGCGTAATAGTATTTCTAATGGACTCAAGAACGGTCTCCTCGAGTCCCCAAAACCGTCCATCATGAGACTGGCTCACTTCGCCATTGAAGATGCAGGTAGGACCTTACCCTCGCCAGGAGTTCTCTGAGTTTTATCTTTGCAGATACCAGCGAGAGTCTCGCTGTTCTGGTATCTGAGTTGAAGCAGAGTCCTGAGCGCCTAGATCAGCTGACCCCGGCGGAGGTTGTGCTCTTGAAGCGACGGATAGCTATCAACATGATCAAACGCGTGGATAACGTGAAAGATGCTAGGAGGTGAAACTCTATGAGGTCGATATTTTTGATGGGTAGTTGTTGCTTATTAGCTCGAAAGGCGTGTCGAAGAAGAAGGCCAAAAAGAGTTATGGAGCTATAATTAAGTACGGTTTTCTCGATCGCCCGCGTGAAGATCTCATAAAAGACAAGAACCTATTGGAGAGCCCAGGTGGGTTGCAAGATGGAGTTTGACTCTTAGATAGTGCACCTGTTGCAGAGACTGTGGCCAAGGTCGAGAAGGTTGTGGAGGAGTTGAAAGCTGACCCGGAACGGTATAAGACTCTCACGCCTGAGGAGACGAAGCTACTCACAGACCGCATAGAAGTGAACAAGAATACTTCAGGTGTTGTTAAGAGGATAAGGGAGTAAGAGGAACTGGCAGTATCTTGGCGTCTATCATGTTGCCTAGTTACCTCACGACTATTCGAGGCCAAGAGTCTACTGCCAGCTTATCTGATGCTCAGCTTCTTGACATGAGAGCGGAGTTCGAGGCCACCGTGAGTAGCTCCGACTTATGAGTCCAAGCGGGTCTATTCTCAGGAGCAGTACCGTAATCGGATCAAGGAAATAAAATTACAGCAATCGCAGGCTAAGCGCCAAACCCGTGTGGATAACCTAACCCAGAAGGCAATGACGGTCGCCAAGCAGATGTGGGGTGGTCGGACAGCTCTAAGCTTGGGCCGGAACGATTAATCAGGTTTTCTCGAGGGAGGTTAGATTTCGATCCATCGAGTAAATCTGAGGATGAGGTGCTTCAATGGTATCGAGATAGTGTTGCGGCGAAGATAGCGAAGAAGAAGTAAATTTTCAACCGGTGTTAGTGAGATTATCGTACTATTCTCTCAGAGAGGAGGCTGCCGCCTATCGTGCGAAGAAGCAAGTATACTTCTGGGAGAAAGCTCGAACAGAGACCGCTGCGGCGGGCCTTAATTGCGCTTAGCATGATAGTGTGGCCTCTGTTTCGGCAAACACGTTTCTGTGCTCTCATTCATTGTTTGGCACCTAGTCAGTTTAGGTGAGCTTTGCGAACACTGTGTAATCGAAACTCCGAAGTGAAAGAGACTCTGAGTTTGAGAAACTGCACGGCATGCAAACGATCAGGCGTAGATGTATTTGTACTGTAGCGATGCAAAAAAACTCTTGGCAGGTGGAACCCAGGATGAAATTACCAAGCAATTAGCATAATCCTTAGGATATTAAGATCATTCGCTGCACAGATTTCACCTTCTTAGGAACTGGTGACATTTGGTATACATCATTTGCCTAGTTAGTGAGCATGCAATGTTCATCCGATGTTACTAGTCACTCCGAGCTTGTAAGGAAAGCATGACGATGATGTGGATGTGGAGAACTCGCCAGTCGATGGCTTCGTTGCATTTGATGGACCATTTTCACTGCTGCGATCACCTGTAAGATGCTATACTTGCTTAGCAACATTTGTTGTATGAATGTCGTCAAGTGAGGATGAAGAATTCACCGACTAAAGACTTCAGTTTGCTATAGCAGGATAGCAGAGGCTAACAGAGGACAATTTCTGTCTCAGACATGTTGCCAGTGATGACCATTTCATCCAAGTTCCAGGTCATGCTCCGGGAGCGCTCCGTTCAGAACATTGCTCAGCAGTCCTGAGTCAGGACTACGTCCGCATGAAATTGGGCAGATGTTGGTTCTTCGCGTATGCCGGTTAGTGCCACATAGTAACGTAACAAAATCACTTTAGAGTCTGAAACTAGTTGTGCATACACAATTAACACTAGAATACGAAGTAACTACAACCGAATGACGGTTTCGATCACCAGAAATGACATGGGAGCAGCTGTAACGTGATACTATCGATGTAACTCTCACTGTAGGGAGAACACTAAGGCTTCGCCGGCATGGTAACCTCGACCATCGTTGTCACCTATAGTAACTCTGCCGTCTTTAGAATAAGGCTTCTCGGCCACGACGTGTAACATCCAGTCACGAGTACCACAGAGGAAAACGTCCCGGTAGGGGCCAAAGAGATGTGTTTCAGTGAGAATCTGACCAGAGACGCGCGTCTCCATGACTGCTATCTTCGCCATCGTATCTGCTCGCAGCAACATAGCGCATACATGAGCATTAGTCCCAGGAATAAAGCGAACAGCAGTGGCCCCATGGCTATCAAACTCCTGTGAAGGGTTCATCTCGCTGGAATACTGCAGACAAATCTTCTCCTTATGACTCTCCCCATGGGCAAGATAGAGCAGCACCAGTGAGGGAACAGACGTGTCCGTGAGATACACATCTTGAAGTTTTATAATTTTGTGTTGCACATGCATCGTGAACACAGACACTGTAGACTTTACATCGAATGCGATCATCTCACGCATCTCGAACGGCTGAACGAGAAGGTATCTGTCAATAGCAAGCATGTCTTTGACACTGCATGACGGATAGATCGGGCTCAGAACGGCACCGTCTGGGAAAGCAACTCTGTATATAATAGTAGAATCGCTCTCTAGAGTGTAATAGAGAATACCACCACAGAAGGAGGCACGCCGAATGGTCTTTCCCCAATCGCCGTCATATCGATCTCGCTTTCCGTGAAAATCTTCGGTGTCGAGATCAATGAGGACCCTTGCAACTTGCCCTGGATTCTCCGGCTCGAGTTCGATAACACGAAAACTGCTGAATGACTTTAGCTGTCTAACATAGGCAATAAGCTTGTCATTGGTTTTGTATAGACCGTCAACGCTGACGCCCGCGGTCCTGCGACGCAATACATACGAGTTGATTGCAATCCAGGGCAATGTATCCCAGAGCACAGCCTTCAAGTCGTCGAAGCCCATACCGATAAGTCGTTGCAGATAGGCGAGCTCCAGCGAGATACGGTTGCGATGGATCACTCGGTTGTTATGATGAGAGGCCATATGTGAAGAGAAGCAAGGACGAGAAACCCTATGTAGTTCCTCACCGATTAAATACCGCATGCCGTGGATGGACATTGATCTCACAGAAAAGTTTTGACTAGTCTCAACTTTGGCGCTCGTGCCCGAGGAACTGATGTTGTTCGCAAACAGTAGACCGTCTACTAGGCAGAATCTTACGCATCTCTTTTTCGAAACAGTTCTACTTGCCTATTTCCCGCCACCTTACACGTCTACAGCATATGCCTGAACAATAGCGAATACGACATAACACGGAGGATTCTTATGTTTAACTAGGTATAAGCAGCGTCAGAGAGGCATTGCTGATACACACGAACATACGCGCCCGTTAGCTGTGACGGTCAACACAAGTGACGTGACACACCCTGATAGATCCCCTCCCGCCTTGACTACACCTCATCAATTCGAACTCACCAAATATAAGGACAAGTTGAAAACATATGGAATCTATGGAATCTGACTTCGTGGAATGAAAGGAGACTCCAGCCAGTGATGAAACGTTAACCAGTGACTTACAATTCGGGTTTTGTCTCGTGAATTTCATAGTACTGGTAATACAATCCTACAAAGAGAGATGATCGAGCTTCAAGCCCTGTTAGGATTTGATCCTTCAACATCTCCGAGCATGCCCTCAACCACTCACGAATCTCAGTCTTCGCACAAAGTGTGCAAAATGGAGGGTACTTCAAGTACTCTTTGCACAAATTGTGTGCTGTGAATGGTCACCTTTCACGACATGAGCTATCCAGTAGTGCATATCGAATCGGTATTATTGGGTGTCTGGAAAATATCGTGGACGACATGAGCTCGATGTCATGGTCCCAGACATGAGCTTGCCTGGTAGTTCCCTGTCGGGTAAGCCCCCTTGCTCCACCGACCCTCTTCTATCCTTCCGAGATCGTTAATTATCTCTTGTATTAGCATCTCCGATTCAGTGGTTTGGCTTCATTTCCCCCTCAGTGAGTGAGCTGAATATAACTGTCATCGCCACATGTTCAATGATCCTCCACTTGAGCCGATCCCCCGCGGGATCCCCGATTTCATGTGTAATCTTGATACAGTGGCGTTCGAGAGTAGAACTGTTATCAACGAACTAGCAGGAGATAAAGAGACGTGGGAAGTAGCCGGAATATTGTAAGTGGCTCAGGCTACAGCTCCGATATATGGGTACAATCTCTCTCTCAGGCAACGTCAACGCGTCGTCGGTTTGGGCATTCAATGCAATGCCGGTGAACAGGGCATCCACGCTGTAGACACCTAGTACATCAGCTATCTATGACACATCGCCTCAGATATCCGTTGCAACTGTCGAGCACGGTGTATTCGTATACATTTTGGCCGATCGCTGGCTCCCTAATGGACTTTGGCGCTTACTGAGGAATTCAGTAAACTGGGAACCGCACATAGGGACGGCTTGTTGAGTCGTTCTCGTGTAAGCTACTGATAGAATCCTAGCGTTTCAGAATTGCACCAAGGTCATCTGCAATATCAATGAGCATCTCATACAAAGAGTCTGCGATTGTTTCCGGCTCCCCGACCTCTGGGACGATCTGCATGACATCGGAGACTATAGCGTGCAGTCGGCGGCTCAAGCTTTGGGCTTGAGGGTATTCTGGCCTAAGTGAGTATGTGCTTCCCAAGTTTCTGTGGAAGCAAGAGCCCTCGTCAACTCTTCTTTCTCGACTGCTGCTCAATTCATGAGTCATAAATATATAGCGATTCTTTAGCATTTCCGCTCGTATGGTTTACATCGGATTACTCTTTGTCTCAGATCTAGAGATTTTCACAACTACAGTCAACCGAATTTAGACGCCGGCCACCAGGGGTACTTGGCTGTGAACGCGTTGGTACCTTTACTCGTGGCCGCTGATCGCCAAATACTACGTTTGGATGTACGCTGTGAGTGAATGTCGATCACGTAGAATGTTCATTCGCCAGAGGCAAGATTACTCAAGGATGAGAGATTACTTCACGATGTATGACATTAATGAAGGATCTCGAGCAGCCGTGCTCGCGCGACAAAGCTTAGCGCGACTGAGGTTAGTGCGACAGAGCTCAGCGCGACACTGGTTACGTAAGGAACCACTTGCATCGGCTACACGAGAGGAGTGTGATGGGCTCATTTGCAGGTGGACAAAATGCATCCGAGAAGGGTACCTCTGATCACGAGACTTCTGACAACGGGACTCCTGACGACGGGACTCCTGACGACGAGACTTCTGGTGAAGAGACTTCAGCCGATGAGACTCCTGACGACGGGACTTCTGGTGAAGAGACTTCAGCCGATGAGGCTTCTGGTGACGAGGCTCCATCTGAAGTAACTCATGGCGAGATTCGAGAGATCTCCCAACGGGAGCCACAGGTTCCATTCAGCGAGATTCTATTCAGGAGCCCCACACGCGACGAGACTCTGCGAAACATGGAAAGCTGAAGGATGCTCATCAGTCCAAGAAACGTCAAAGGAATATTCATGGAGAAGGATCGAGGAAGTGCAGTAGGAAGACTTAGTCCGAGAATACTATCAGGTAAGAGGAGAATACACATTTTCAGTCAGAACTAACTACGTTTCGGATTTGATTGGAGTTGTGCAGTTAATGAGCGGGATATAAACAACAGAGCTAGAGACACGTTCTAGACTTGGACTGTATGAATTCGGGCTCGAGAACCTGATTTATTCCATAAAACCGGCGGTTGCGTCGGCGCAATGTCTTCTGTATCACGTAACCACGCTACTTCGTTCAGTTCTGCAACTTATTCGAGTACGTCACTACCGAGGCATCTCACGTTGTATCTGAATCTGGCATGTAGCGTTCCGCATGCTTCCTTGGGGAATCACCGATGCACTCCCGATTCGTCAGGGGCGCCGCGAACTGTGTAGGCCAGATTACGAAACTTAGCTACCGCATTTTGGCCAGGCATTACTACTGTAATGACAGACATTATCTCGGGGTCTACAAATGAACAGGGAAACACAGCGTTGGCGAGCAGTAGCACACCACGACACAGCGCACGATGATTCGCCTCACGAGAAGTCTCAGATAGAAATGTATTCCCAACAGTCAGAAAGCGAAAGTCGGAGCATCTGTCGATATGCTCACAGCACGAGCACGAGCACTCAACGTTGTGCGCTTGACCGATGCGTGTTAGCGAAGCGACCGATGTCCGCATCGAAAGTATCAATATCCGCGAAACGAGACTAGATTCAGCAAGAGGCCCTTCCGATAGGCTTAGTGCAGTAACCTTGAACCGCACCTGAAGTATTTGTTCAATCTGCGATGGGTCGCCTGCCGCACGACTCATGCGCTTCCAGGACTGGCGTTAGCCACCAACTGTGTTTTCACAATAGGTTCCCACAATGGATTCGACCCGAACATCCTACATACTTTTGTCGGAATCATCACAGGAGAGGTGACGTTGGACGCGCATGGACCACCATCATCAAAACGACAATATGGGTAAAGAACATAGCGGACCTAGTGAAGCTTGATCGGTAAAGAGTTCTCTTCCAGAGCAACTGATCACGCATTCCTTCGTTCCCGGTGGCTTCCAGATCACTCTCAGTGTCCTAGCATTGTGGCAACAGTAGCTGCACGCGTCATTGCTCCATGACGCTCCCGTTTCGTAGCGGATCCTGCGACTTGCCAAGCTTTTCTCCTGAGTATCCTGTGGGCATTATCGCTTTTCGTTACTCTGTTGGCTGGGAGAAGCCAACACAAGCATACAGCCAAGACGCGGTGGAATGAACACTTGAGTATCAAGGAACACATTTCTGCTCGAAATCATGCTCTACGAGCAATGCTCGTCGAGCATGCTTTGCTGTGAGCTCGCACACACTCCCTCCACGTAGCTGCCATTTACAAAACCAACCCCGGAGTGATGAAATAGTCCAGCAGCGTTTAGCCAGTTGACTTCCATTGGGACACTCGACGGACTTATCGTATATTTTGTCAAGTAACACGTTCTAACTCCAATCAAACTGGAGTTCTGCTCGAAGACCGCG